TGTGGGCTGCTGCTTCGCAAGAGTCCGCAGCAGAGGTTTGCTGCTGCTCTTGGGAGCCCCCAGCAGCAGCAGCAAACGGCGCAGTGCGCAGCAGAACAAGACACAAGAGGCCTTCTCTTGCGTTCTGCGCAGTGTCCGCGCTGCTCTCCACCAGCAGCAGCTGCAGCAGCAGCAGCCGCAGCAGCAGCGCCCTAGATGAGTGCGAGTGCCCAGCAGAGAGCCCCAGTTAGCTGCTGCTGCTGCTGCCGCTGCTGCTGCTGCTGCTGCTGCTGCAGCTGCAGCTGCGTGTGTGCTGCTGGGCGTGCTGCTGCAGTTCGGAAGCAACCCCGCGGGGGAACATTTCTGGAAAGGCACGAGGGCTCTGGTGGTGTGCGTTGATGGGCAGTCTCCGAGCTGCGCAGCAGCAGCAGCAAAGTGGCTGACGGGCCCCACAGTTGCGGAGTGTCGGCAGCAAGAGCCGAACTGCGTGGTGTGTCTGCTGCTGACCAAGGCGGACGCCTCTGCTGCTGCTGCTGCTGCTGCTGCTGACCCCCAAGCTGACGAGCTTGCTGCAGAGCTCCAGGCCTTCGTTGACCAGCGCCTCTGCAGCACTTGGGCTGCTGTTTCTGCAAAAACTTCCCAAGGAAAGTCTTCACAAAAACCCCACACTTTGCTGCTCACAAACCCGCTGCTGCTGCTGCTGCCCAACGCCCTGCTGCTGCTGCTGCTGCTGCTGCTGCCGGCCTCTGTCTACACACGCACCAGAGGCCACAATAGCTACCGCACACTACCTGCTGCTGCAGCGGGGCCTTCTGCTGCTGAAACGGGGCTTTCTGCTGCTGCTGCACGGGGGCTTTATGCTGCTGCTGCAGCGGAGCTTTCTGTTCCTGCAAGAGGGCTTTGTGCTGCTGCTGCAAAGGGACTTTGTGCTGCTGCTGCAAAGGAGCTTTGTGCTGCTGCTGCTGCAAGGGGGCTTCTTGCTGCTGCTGCAAGGGGGCTTTTTGATGCTGCAGGGGTGAGGCTGCGCAGGTATTTACGACAAAGACGACTTCCTGAAGCAGCTGCTGCACGCCCTGGTCGTGCAGGACCAGAAGCTGCACAGAAGCCGCAGCCGCCGCAGCATTTCGAAGCAGCAGCAAACTGCAGCAGCAGAAGACGGCGGCGGCTCCCACGCGGGCCGCACTTCTCTTTCCGAAAGAGCTTCTGCTCTCGAGGGCCACCTCAAGGAAGTTGTCCTCAAGCTGGGCACCCAGTAGCAGCAGCAGCAGCAGCAGCAGCTGCAGCTGCTGTTGCTGCTGCTGCTGCTGCAGGAGCTGCTGCTGCCCACTGCCCGCCAGCCCCCGCCTCTGCTGCGCTGCAGCGAACCACAGGGACCCTCAGCTGGGGCCCCGCAGCAGGGGCCCCCTGGGGCCCCAGAGGGGCCCCCGGAGGCCCCAGAGGGGCCCCTTGGCTCAGTGCTGCAGCAGCAGGCCGAGCGGCTGGGCATTTAAGACTGGAGTACTTTATTAGACATGCTGTAAATACACCTGAAGTGCGGAAAGTAGGGGCCCCAGACATCGTTTCTGCAAAAAAGCGGGGCCCCTGCAGCTGCTGCTGCTGCTACCGCTGCTGCTGCTGCTGCTGCTACTGCTGCTGCTGCTGGTGCTGTTTGGCAGCAAAAGCAGTCAGGGTGATTTTGCTGCTCTGGCGCGCTGTGCCGCTTCTCTGCGCCTGCGAACTTCAGCCAATCTGGAGACAGCAGCAAAAACCGAATTGCAGCACTTCAGTTGCTGCTGCTCATTTTGTAACTGCGCAGCAGCAAGGGTGCTGCTGCTGATTCGCCAACGTGCAGCGGAGCAAGTTACTGCAAAAGCTCTCCCTGCTGCTGCTGCTGCTGCTGCTGCTGCTTAAGGTCTAGTGTGGGGCTTTCTAAAGCTGCAGAGCTTTACCTCTCGAGATCCGCTTTGGATTGGCTCGTCTTCCCTTCAGCCTGCAGTTTCTGTGTGCACAAACACACACCCACGCACGCACCGAATTGCTGCTGCTGCTGCTGTTGCTGTTGCTGCTGCTGCTATTGTTGCTGCTGCTGCTGCAGGGTGTCCCTGTATCAGCAGTAACCCTTCGGGTTGCTCTGAGGCCAACAGTCTCAAGCAGTCGCAATGGAGCAGGCAGCAGCAGCAACAGCTGTTGCTGCTGCTGCTCACACGCCGAGATGTTTGGTCAGCAGCAATCAAACAAATAGCAACGAACTTAAAGAGCGAGACTCTTTAAGGGCCCCAAATGGGGAAGAGGCAGCAGCAGCAGTGAAAGAGGCGGAGGCGAGGACAGCAAAAGCAGCAGCAGCAGCAGCAGCAGCAGCAGCAAGCAGGGCAATGGGTTGCACCAGGCATGATGCAGCGCGAAGCAGGAGCCCCGAAAGAGACACAAAAAGGCAGCAAGGGGGCAACAAAGGAAGCAGAAACTGACAAAGCAGAGCAGCAAAAGAGCAGCAGCAAAGCAGCAGCAGCAAAAGAGCAGCAGCAAGAGAGCAGCAAACTGAAATTTGGCGAAGAAAAGCAGGAACTAAACCCACTTGCAAAAGTGCTGCTTGCTTCGCCTTCTCCTGCGCCTCTTTTTCGCGCCTGGAAGGCTCGGGGGAAAGACTGGAGCCTCTGTTTCTGTTGGGGTTGCCGGCGCCCACCTGAGGCAGCAGCAGCAGCAGCAGCAGCAGAAGCAGCAGCGGCAGCAGCAGCAATTGTAGGAGTCCCCGTGATGCACATGCGTTATGTGGAATCGAGTGTTTTGTGTGGAGAGGCTGAGATGCAATCAGGAAAAAATGACCGAGAACAAAGGAGCAGCAGCAGCACAAGAAGCAGCAGCAGCTGCAGCAGCAGCTGCAGCAAAGAAGCAGGAAGAAGTAAAACAGTGAAAGGCAGCAGCAGCAAAGAGCAGCTGACCAGAGGGTCGTCTTCCTGCGGGCACAAACAGACAAAGGCAAACCAAAAGCAGGACAGACTTAGCCGTAGATGTTCGTGCGGTTGCTGCTGCTGCTGCCGTTGCTGTTGCTGCTGCTATTGCTGCTGGTGTTATTCTTGTTGCTACTGCTGGCGTTGCTGCTGCTGATGTTCCAGCTGCTACTTGTGCTGCGACTGTTGGCAGCCAACGGGGTGTCGGACTCACGTCGCTGTCAAGGGGGACCACTGGTCCCCTGCGAGTCTGCTGCTGCTGCTGCTGCTGCTGCTGCTGCTGCCCCTCCGTCTCCTCCTCAGACTGTTCCTCCACCTGCGTGTTGCTGCTGGAAACGTTTCGAGCCATCACTTCTTCAAAAGATGGCACCACGCGGCAGCCCCGCTGCGGCCTGCTGCCGCGGCCGCCGCGGCTGCTGCGGCCACCCCGGCCCCCCCTGGGGCCCCCTCGCTTTGCTGCTGGGCCTCCCGGCATTCTGCTGCAGGGAACGGGTGCTGCTGCTGCTGCGTGGCGCTGCTTCTGGGCTCCTGCGGCGCTCCGGCGGCTGCTGCTGCTGTCTTGCTGCTGCGCGCGCTGCCCAGCGCGAAGTAACGCGGCGGAAGAGATAACGGAAACAAAAAAGACTTTGTCAAATTTCTGACAGCGCAGAAGGACAAGAAAGATCGCCCGAGGCAGCAAGGCGGGTCGGTCCGTTGCTGCAGTTCAGGTGTGCACACACGGAGGCGCCACGAGGCCTAAGGGAGGCAGCAGTGTTGTTTGCTGCTTGCGTTTAGATAAAAATTATATTCAGTTGCCGATGTACCTGCTTTAAGAAGTGCTCTAGGAGGATATTTGACCAGTGGCTTCAGCAGCAGCAGCAGCAGCGCTGCGGCAGCGGCAGCTGCTGCAGCAGCAGCAACGCTGCTCTTGCCTCGCTCACCCGTGTCCAGGCCACTACGCAAGGGCCTAGGGCTACACACACCTTTTTGCTGCTGTCCTTTATGTGCTTGTTGCTACAAACTAAAAAGGAACCGGATGTGAAGAGATCGCAGGCAATTTCAACTTTCTTGCTGCTGCTGCTGCTGCTGCTAGCGGGGCCCCCCGTAAGGCCTTGCGGCGGTAGACCGCCCGCAGATGGCAGCAGCTGCAGAAATAGCTAACTTTACGACTTTTGATTTAATAATGCGCATTGACTGCCTCGATTAAGCAGCTGCTGCTGCCGTAATCGCTGCTGCTGCTGCTGCTACTGCTGCTGCTGTTCCGCTGCCACGGTCGCTGCGGCTGCAGCGCAAAGAAACCCCAGCACATTCGCCCTCTTCCTGAGCAGCGCTGCAGCATCATCAGCATCAACAGTAGCAAAAGCAGCAGCAGCAGCAGCAGCAGCAGGCACGGCAAATAGCGTTCCTCGAGTTTCTGTCTGTCTCTGACCTGTCGCTGTGTTCCCTCATTCTTCCCCTTTCCGGCCGGCCCTTGCGCTTAGCTTCTCCCCGCAGCGGCTGCTCTGCAGCAGCTGCAGCAGCTGCAGCAGCTGCAGCAGCTGCAGCAGCCGGCTGCAGCAGCAGATTGCGGCAGCGGCAGCAGCAGCCCCTTGCCCCCACTGTCCCCCGCCTGCTGCTGGAAATGTGGGACTCTTTGCTGCGGAATTTTTCCTCAGCCACGACAAATGATTTAGCAGCGGCTGCAGCAGCAGAAGAGGCCGTTGCTGAGCCTTCTGCACCTTCCCCAAATGCAGCAGCGGCAGCAGCAGCAGCAGCAGCAAACGAGCAGCGCAGCCAAGTGGTGTCTTTCCTGAGGCTGCGGGAGTCGCTGCGCAGCAGCCGCAGCCCTGCTGCTGCTGCTTGGGACTTTAGGCAGCAGTCGCAGCAGCTGGAGGGTCTGGCTGCCGAGGAGGCAGCAGCAGCAGCAGATACGATGGGCGCAGCAGCAGCAGCAACGCCAGAGATCCTCTCACCGGACTCATTCACCCCTCCTCCTGGAGGCGCACCAGCAGCAGCAGCAGCAGCAGCAGCAGCAACATCTCCTGCACAGACGCGCGAAGGATCCGAAGCAGCATGGGGTGCTGCAGCGCGTGAGGCGCAGGAGCCACGCGGCGCAGCTTCGGACGGCCGCAGCAGCGACGCAGAAGCAGCAGCGGCGCCTGCTGCTGCTGCTGCTGCATCTGGCGAAGGCAGCCCCATGTGCAGCAGAAGCAGCAGTAGCTCTTTGTGCGAAGAAGAAGAAGTCATCGCCAGTGCTGTGTCTGCTGCTGCGTCTGCCCCCACAGTGCTGCGCAGCCGCTTCTTATCCCTGGGCCGGGCGGTCCCCACGGCCCAGCAGCAGCAGCAGCAGCAGCAGCAGGAGCAGCAGAGCGAGGTGGACGTGCAGCTGACGGATGAAGTGCTGCTGCAGCGCCGGCCTGGAGGGAGCAGCAGCTCCACCTCGGCAGCAGCAGCAGGAGCAGCGGCGCGGGCATCAGAAGCGGCCTCAGCAGCAGCAGGAAGCCCGCAAAGTGCAGCAGCAGCGGCGGGGGCAGCAGCAGCAGCAGGCGCTGCAGCAGCAGCAGAGCAGCAGGCCGTGGATGGCCTTCCTGACTTTTTGCCTCTGAGGCCTGAGGGCGCTGCTGCTGCTGCTGCGCGCGCTGCGGCTTCCCGCGTCTTGCTGCACCAAGACACCGCGGCGGAGGCAGCAGCAGCAGCAGAGCCAGCAGCAGCAGCAGCAGCAGCAGCCAGCAGCAGCGCAGCAGCCCCCGGAG